GGGGGGGCCCCCCCCCCCCCCCCCACACACACACACGGCTTGAGCACCTCGCTTTGTGAAATGAGGACAGGTTTCTGTTATGTGTTGTGAACTATGAGTGAAACAGCCTACGTGAGCTAGGTGCTGTTATCTTTGGCTCAGTGCAAGGTCCCTGCTGGAGAGTGCAGCTTATGCTGTATCCAGGAGTGTGGGGTACGTCTAATGCTTTCCCACACCTTTCCCAAGCAGAAAAATGCAGCAGAGATTGACAGAGAGGGAGGAAAAAAGGAGCAAGAGAGAACACAAGATATTCTGCTAAGCTGTCCTTACGCAGCCAGGAAAGGAGGATTTCTCCTCTGCTGAAAAGGCCAGGATTAAAGTAACTAACAGGTTTCAGAGGGAGAAAGAAATGGCATCACTTGCTTGCATTTTTCAGCTGTTAGACACTGCCTGACACGCAGAGTCTTAGCCACAATGAACAAACGTATTGATCTTCAAGAGCTTAGAGAGTGGCTTGGCCGAGCTCTGAGTCTGCCCTGAGCAATCCTACGACAAAACCAGCTTTCTGCAGCCCAAGGGTCCTGAGCAGTCCAGCAATTAAAAGCCGCTGCTCCTGCACAGTGAACTTGCTGGAGACTCCTGTTCAGCTCTGTTTTGAGGGCCTGCAGTGCTGTAGCGCCCAAGCACCTTGCATGCTTCATCTGATCTACCCGCACAGCACCCCTGGGAGACGGGGGCGTTGCTGCCTGCATGTGACTGCTGGGAAAACCATGACGCGGAGATTGAGGGTGAAAGGGTCAAAACTGCCCAAGTGATTTAGGAACCTCAGCCCCACTGAAAATCTACCACGGAGCCACAAAGAGTTAAAAACTCCTGGAGGGCAGTGCTGAGGGAGAGGGAAGGCTGCTGTGCTGGAGCAGCTGAGAGTTAAAATCACTCCCCTTCCTAGTGTCTGGAAAGGAAAGAAGGTTTGATTTGGCTTTGGAGTCAAAGCTGGTTTTGTAAAGAATAAAACTGGCCTGAGAAACTAAGAATGGACCTGACTCGCCCATCTAAGACAGCAGGGTAAGAGACCTGCTTATGCCCTTTAAAATGTTTTCTTTACCTATAGTGGGGAAAAAAAAAGTTTATTTCCAGCTAGAAAACCAGCCCCCATCTGAGCAAAGCCAGCTCTGCAATGCAAATTCGAGCCTGGCTTTGATTTAGAAAATGGCCATCTCGTGTCACATAAGGGCTGAGTTTGAGGAGATGGACCAAAGTTGCCTGAAATGAGATGGCAACAACGTTGGTGGAAATCTGCACCTGGGACATGATCACCAGCTCCCCTTGACTCCAGCAGGTAGTTCAGGGGGGAAGGAGTAGAAGAGGAAAGAGGGCTTGTGGCTGAGGGTGTGGGCTGGACTTCAGAAGATCTAGTGGGCGCTTATGGGGCCTGCAGAAGATCTAGGTTGAATGACCAGCTCGTCCACAGACTTGTTGCATGACCCAGATAAGACATAGGGACCAATACAAGCACTTGCCATTGGTAACCCTCCGAGTGCTTTACAAAGGAAGGCAGCATCTTAAGATCCATTTTGCAGATGGGGAAACTGAGGCATGGAGAACAGAAGTGACCTGCTCCAGGTGACCTTGACAGTCAGTGGCAGAAGTGGAGGTCCCAGGTCCCACTTCAGTGCCCTGGGTGCTGGGTGAATACGTCACTGAGAAGCACAGCAGCAACCCATGGAGTTGCCCTGATGGTCACCCAGTGCTGAGTCTCAAGTGGTTGCCCAAAACCGGTGGCCAGTTTTGACAACTTTGGCTTTCTGTCACATGGTGCCCCTATTCTCCCAACTTGAAAACAGGGCTGAAATTATCCTTCCCTGCTGTGGAAGGATCGAGGCTGGTCAGGCACTGAAGTAGCATGGTGACCGGAGCCATAGAAGTACTTGTGCAAAGAGAGAGAAGGGTCCAGATCTTGGTTTTGCTCCAAAATGTTGGAGCCAGTTTTGGAAATGGGGATTTGGCCTAGATCAGCCTGGAAGCTAAACTGAATAGGACGTGTTGTGAAGCCTTCTGAGGCCTCGGCCCATCCGGCTGTGATTAGCAGGTAGGATTTCAATCAGCTACGCACTGCAGAGCTGTTGAACTCAGAGCCATGTTCGGCACCTGGGCTGTCTCTGTCCTGGGCCGCACCATGTAAGGTGTCTGGGAGTCGCCTTGGGGCTGGACTGCTCAGCAGCGCTCGGGATCGGGCCCCCAGTAATGAACCAGCTGGAACAGCTGAGGGCCTCTGGGCACCTGTAATAATAAACCAGTGCTGTGCACAACGGAGAAGAGCACCAACACCAGGGCTCTCTGAGCAGCTGCTAGGATTCAGCAGCTCTCTATGATGGACACGGCACCTGGTTTTCTTTGCTCTTTTCCTTGCAATGGTGTTGACAGCTGGTGTGAAATGCAGCTGCCAGCACGAGTGGAGAAATCTGACAGCTAGTGGAAGCCAAGGTAGAGACGCACCTTACAGACTAAATCGGAGATGCATACGCTTTCATGAGTCTGAGCTTGCTTCATTAGATGGTCTCCTTTTTGGTCTCCACTGAGGAACAAACCAGGACCTCTATAGAGCCACAGGTGGAAGTGGACCTAGCTTGAACCAAAGAGTCTGGGCTTTGCAAATGGGTGACTGAGGGTTAGCACAGAGGAGGGGGCTGTAACCTGGGCTCAACTAGGGGGTGGCAATAAGTTTTAGCCACTCTGCACCCACAGGAGTCCAACATTACTCATAAACTGCAGGGACATGAATCCCAATCCTTATGGAAATGCAGCAATGAATTAGAGGGAAACAATGTAGGAGACAAGTCGCTAGACAGAAGCCTTAAGACAGGATTAACCGCAGTCTGCTCCGCATTAAATTATAAAGGAGCTCCGGAGCATTTCCATTCTCAAGCCATTTCTGCCTTCTTTAAATTCACAGGCGTTGTTCAGCAGCTGAAATTCTGCAGATAATTTTTTCCTGTGATTTATGTCTTTTTATTACTTTTTTTGTATGTGGATTTTAAGTTGCCCAAATCCTGCTGGTTTTATGGCAGGATTTAAAATGAGGACACCAGACCTCTAGCGTAGCCAGCAGAAGATAATGTGCTGCTCAGGTCAGGGACCTGGTGAAACTGGAGAGGTGGGGAGTAGGAATTGGAAGCAATCCCCTGTGCTTGTGCTTGGTTTTCCGGCAACTCTGCCATGCACTTTAGGCCTCTGCTACTCCACACCTGAGTCCCCTTTCCCTCAATCGCCTGCCCCACTGCTCTGCCAATGCACCTCACTGCTGTCCAGCAGCTCCCCCAGGCCTTCCCCGCCAGCCCAGCTCTGTCTCCATGTCTCAGCCCTGTAGTATAGCTCCTTCCATCCCAGCCCTGCCCCTGCTCTGATGCATTACAGTGTTGAGCTTGCTACCTCAGCCCTCCTTGTGCTCCCACTATGAACTCCATCATCCGTCACACCAAACAGCACGATGCCTGCATCCAGGACTCCCAGCTCCCTGCATTGCCCTTCCCTGTGAGCCACTGGCTTGCCCACAAAGCTGTGCCAGCAACCCCTGTAAAGCCGTCAGCTGGTACAGTACATCCAGGCTAATGCGCTAGCGACTGCCTTGGTCCTTCCCATCTCCAGGCTATGGAGCTGCGGTCAACACCCGCCTGGTCTGGGAGCAGCTGGGCTCCCTTGGCTTTTCCCATCTCGAATGAAACTGTCTCCTATTTCTTTCTTACTTAAAGCAGCAGCAGAGACAGAGCTGGAAGCGGGTTGGAGTCAGGACCCCAGAAGGCCGGTCCTTCTTCTGGAAGGAGCGTGATGCAGTGGTTAGAGCTGGGAGCCGGGGGCCGGGACACTTGAGCTCCACTTCCCGTCTGGAAAGGAATGAAGGAAATTGGGAAAGCGGAAGAGGGAGCAGTAGCCCTACATCCTGGCCTCTCGCCGAGCTCTGCTACTGAGGTGC